ATGGTAACAGTGTGAATGCAGCATGAATCTCGACCACCTGCTATTGCATTTAGGCAGCCATGGCACCCATGATTGCCTGAATACAATGGCGCTCCATCTGATAAGATGCAGTCACTGTTTGGCCAATCATTTTCCACCCGGCCCAGTCAATTTCTGTTGACCCGGTTGATGCTTGCAGGACCATACATGGCTCAATATTGGGTGGATTCAACAAGAATGGGGCAACATTTGCAGTGTCAAGTCCATGTAGGGCCTAGGATGAGGGCAGGCATGCAATGGGGTCTTCCCCTCTGCTTACCCATAAACTACATATCCCAGGCTGCCTTGCCACTTCCCCTGCAATCTATATCCATGCTGTCCAGCCAACTGCTGTGCAGGGTTTACAGGGCTGGTGTGACGGCGTAGCTGCCTGCGCTGGGGCTTTTGGCTGCTGAAAGCCGCTGTATACAACAGTGGATTTTCAGCTACGATTCTGATTTTACAGTGCAACAAAGTAACATTGGACATCTTGGAAACACAAACTCGATTAGGCGAATGCCCATAGCTGCCACCTCTCCCTCTATATTCGAGGGAACCAAATCCCTCTGTCCCTCTTTCCTCCTCAGTTGTCCCTCTTTTTAGTATAATCCTGTATAAAACACACGCGATATGTCTGCAGGAAAAGAAGCTTTGCACAGTAATCACCAAACCTCATCCCAACTGTGAAGCATGGCGGAAGGCACACTATGGTAGCATAGTCTTGCTGCACCAGGGTCTGGCAGCTTGCTGTCATAAAGGCAAATATACAATTATGTGTATAAAGAGATTTTAACCCCTTCCCACCCATTAATAAACATGTTCCCATTTAGAGCTTGCAAAGGACACTTTGTGCTCCCGCTAACTCTTAGGGCCGGTTCACACCATAAACAGTAAGTTCCAGAGCGGTCAGCCTATGGAATGCACTGTATCACATTCCAGCCAGCTTCCTGCATTCAAGGGGCGGGAGGGGGCGGGAGGGGGCATGGGCTGCGCAGGCAGGCCCCTCGCCCACAGTGCGATCGCCTGCATTAGTGCCTGT